ACAACAGCACTGAAAACAGTGACTTATGCGAGATTGAATTGGGTTCGGCCACCGGTGAGCTTCTTGCAAGAATACAAGTGAGCAGTCAGATGAGGAAATCCAAATTCATTGGTAGCCTCACATTGGAATGAACAAGGACACACATTTAATTTCACAGCGACTTAAGTTCATTGGCCATGCAGGTACAAAGAGAGCCAGGAAAATGATTGAAGCCTGGGAAACAGGCCCCTTGTCAGTTAACAGATGTACTGATTTACCACCAACTTATCAAATACTTAGGAGCTGGGGCTTGGCAGCACAAGGAAATGACAGCCATCACCAGCCATCAACACACCAATCAGCCAATAGGAAGGCACCAGGTAAACACAACTCACAGAACAGCATGTATTCCAGTAAAGAGAAATTCCCTTAAGATGGGCTACAGCAGCGGTTCTCAACCTATGGGTCGCGACTCCATTTGGGGTCGATCGACCATTTCATGGGGGTCGCCAAGCAAGGCTGTCCGCCATTTTTTTCCCCTTTTCCGGCGGGTGCCTTACCTCCCTTGAGCTGGGCCAGCTGGTGGTCGGCCTGCTCCGTCTCTGCCGCTTGCCAGCTACGCCTCGGCCGGCGCAGGGGGCGGAACCACGCATGCGCGGTGCTCCCGGGCAGGGAAAGTCCTCGACTTACGACCGGTTGGGGGTCGCGGCATTAAAAAGGTTGAGAACCACTGGGCTACAGCATGAGTCTGAAAGCTCGGAAGAGTAAATCTGGTCCCGGTGACTGAACCAAATTCGATCTTGCATCATTATCCTGGGACACGTGTATTTGCCTTCATTCGAAAGTACCTTATAACAGCATCTCTATGGTTGTGTGATCAAAATCCGGACACTTGGTAATTGACTCATATTTATGATGGTTGCAGTGTCCCGGGGTCACGTGATCCCCTTTTGTGACCTTCTGACAAACAAAGTCAATGGGGAAGCCGGATTCTCTTAACATCCGTACTACTAACTTAACAACTGCAGGGATTCACTTCACAACTGTGGCAAGAAAGGTTGTAAAAAGGGGGCAAGACTCACTTAACAACTATCGCACTTAGCACTGGAACTTTTGGGCTCGATTGTGGTCGTAAGTCGAGGACTACCTGTATTGGAAGGACTTAATTGCTATTCTGGAATAGTGAACACCAATTCTTGCAGATCTATTTCCTGAAGTAATAAATACAATTTTTACCTCAGACACAATGTCTTACCTTTACTATCAAGAGGAACGGTATATTCTTCTATCCTGATGGCACCCTCTTTCTGAAAAGGGAGAAGAAATGAAACAGCTGCGGCTAAGCATCAGATTCTTTTTTTTCTAATAGTATTTTTTTAATTAAGAATTATAATTACAATAATAAAAAACAACTATCAAACTAAAAAAAACCCTAAAAGGATGAAAAGACAAAGTCGAAGGTGCAGCTAAGAAAGAAAAGAAAAAAGAAAACGAGAAAGAGAAAAGAAAGAAAAAATAATAAAGAAAAAGAAAAGAACTTTATGAATATATAAAGAAGCAAACAGAGTTTGAACATTCTCCTTTAATTGTAATCTTTAATTCCTTCTACTTCCCTTCCAGCTCCAAGTTTTACTGTGGCATGATTATGTAGCTATTATTATCAACTGATAAAAGATGAACGGTATTCGTGATCCAAGTCGGTGCAGTAAATATCTGCACAACTAGCAAATGTGGTCATCTGTCTGGAGGATTTTGCATAAAAGCTGCAGGATATTTGCCTCTCCTCATCTCTAATCCAGGAAAACCCTATAAAACTGCTGTGTAAATTTGGTGATTTTGCATTTTAGCAGGATTTGCGAAGCCTTTTGTCATATGAAATTGCTATGTTTAGCTATGATTAAGAGTGGAATCAGCCAGGATTTCCTTGCCGTTTCTGATCCTCCTCCCTCTGATTTTGGCAATATGCAACACCCGATTCAAAAGGCAAGTTTAACCCTCGGCTTGGAGAATACTCAATCATGATGATGATGATGATGATGATGATGATAATGAAGTTACCCATTCAGTCCTGCCCGTCTCTTGGCGATTCTGTGGGCCAGGTCTCTCCGCATTTTCCGATCTTGCCCTGCTCCTCTGAGCTGTTCTATGCTAGTGGTGGCGAACCTATAGCACGGGTGCCAGAGGTGGCACTCGGAGCCCTCTCTGTGGGCACACATGCCATTGCCTCTGCCTGCGCCCCCCTCCTCACCAGCAGCCCCTGGAGGAGAGTCACCCCGAGCGTTGCCCACACAGAGCAGCGCAGCTAAGGACATGGCAGCCAGGCAGCATAGACAAGACTCTGCCCTCATACCCCAATGCGCAAAGTTGATGCTGCGGGGCATGGGCAGAGGGTGTGGCCGCCATGGTGCTGCTGGGCTGCCTGGGCGATCTGCGGCAGGCCGTGGAGGCAGTGAGTGGCCCTGCAGGCAGGCAGGGTGGGGCGGAGCGGGGCCGGGGGTGGAGCAGGGGCAGGGCAGGGAGTGGAGCAGGGGTGGGGCCAGTTTTTGGGCACTCGGTCTCTAAAAGGTTCGCCATCACTGTTCTGTGCTCCGGCTGGTGTCAGCTTTCATGGTGTCCAGACACCGTGTTTTTTGGCACCGCTAAATCTTCCTAACATAATTGCTTTCTCCAGCATGACATGGCCGAAATAAATGAGACACAGTTTTGTGATTTTGGAAGGTTTTTTTTTTTAAAAAAAATCCTGCTTTAATACCATTTTGCATCTGGAGCGAAATTATGGAGCATTTGTGGGTTTGACACTGTTGGCTGTAACTGAAGCTTCTTACCTCGACCCGCAATTTCTTGGAAACCTTGTCCCCTATCCCCCATTCACCAAGAGCAACAATGGTGATGGGGATGTCACTCGCCCCCATGGGCACCAGAACGAAGGGTATAGGAATTGCAGAGTTCCCTGGCACCTCCACCTTCCGTTTCCGTGCTGGGCCAAGCGTTGCTGGGGAACAAATGCCTTCAGCCGGCTCCAAGTATACTAAGACCTAAGTCAAAAATATGAGAAACAAGATGTGTTCAAATATTAAACTGTATTAGATGTATTACAAGGTTTTGATTTTTTAAGACCTAAGTCAAAAAAAGTGAGAAACAAGATGTGTTCAAATATTAAACTGTATTAGATGTATTACAAGGTTTTGATTTTTTAAGACCTAAGTCAAAAAATTAATTTGCAATATTTTTTGCATCATTGTATGGATTTTCACGTCACTTACGCTGAGTGGATCAGACTGGTAGTTGTATAACACTGGACGAAGCTCTATCTGTTCAAACTTTTTCACAGAGTATGGCAGCCGGAGAGAAATGTGGAAGTCTTGGAAGACTGTAATTTTGAAAGGCTCTGAAACACAAATCCCTAAAAACACAGGAAGAACTCAGCATTAGCAAAGAGAAGCCGCTGTGCAACAATGGAACTCAGTTGCTAAACAAAAAAGAAACAAGCAAGGCACGGAGCAAAGGAAACATAAGAATTATGGTACGGGAAGTTTAAATATTGAACTGAAAAGCCATCGTTTGACTCGGAACACCCTGAAACAGGTAGAAACAGAGAAAAAAATTCAGAAGGTCCTGAGGATGGATTGGGCTACCAGTTCATCTTAATCCAGCACAGGTAGCCCTCGAGTTATGACTGTAATGGAGCCTGCCCATTGCAGTCGTAAGTCATAATAGTTGTACACAGTGGTGGGATTCAGCCGGTTCGGTCGAACCGGTAGCTAATTTTTTGTTGCCCAGGCCCAGAATGGACTTCCGGAAATGGCATCCACACAGAGAAACAGTTGTTCACATATTTGAATCCCACCACTGGTTGTACAACCTGACTGACCTGATTTTAAAATATTTTTTGAGGCAGCTGTTACGCAAACGCATCAGTCGTAAAACAAACTGCATGATTGTTAAGTGGACCTATTTGTTTGTTATGGCCTGGTTTTGCCGGAAACCAGAAGTAACTGACAGTTTACAGTCAAATTGTTGTAAAATGCAGGCCTGTGAGAGTGGGATGCCGCCAACAGCCCTAAATGTGTCTGTGTTGCCAAGATCCTGAAGTGTGGTTACACGACAGTGTGGGTGAGTGGGTGGGTGTGCAGAACTTCGGATCCCGGTCTCCTTTTCTCAGGTAGGTCATAACTTCAAACAGTTGCGAAGCAAGTGGTCATAAGTCAAGGACTATCTGCATTTGATTTACTTTAAACCACCAGTCCCCAACATTTATGGCTCCAGGGATCGGCTTCAGAAGAAAAAAATGTATTCCGTGGACATGCCGGGGGGAGGCGGGGTGTGTGGGATTTCATGGATGTGACCTAGGTCCTGTGCATGCGCAGATGAAACTTCGCTCGCTGGTCTGTTGCTTGTGTGGCCCGGTTTCCCAACAAACCACGGAGTAGTACTGGTCTGCCCCCTGGGGGTTGGGGACTCCTGCCCTAAACCACAGAAACTTCCCCTCTCAGCTCAAGGGCCACTGTGGTGTTGTGGGGAAAGAACTGAACTAAGATGGTGTCATTCCTCTTGGGCAAACCAGACAGTCAGTTAGGGCAGATCCTTAAATTATGTTAAACAGAATAACAGAGTTGGAAGGGACCTTGGAGGTCTTCCAGTCCAACCCCCTGCTTAAGCAGGAGACCCTATACATTTCAGACATTTCATTATGGTTATAAGTCGAGGGCAACCTGGACAGGAGAGATGGAGCCCAATGCATCTGGGGAGACAGACACAGATCGAAGCAACCTTTTCTAGCCACAAGTGGGTGCTGCAACACTGGAGAAGAAGAGATTGGACAACCGTTTGTCTGAAATGATATAGGGTTTCCAGTTTGAGCAGGGCGTTGAACTAGAAAACCTCCAAGGTCCCTTCCGTTATTCTGTTATTCTGTTATTCTGCCTCCAGAGCTATTGGATTGCAGTTCCCATTAATCTTAGCTAGTTTGGTCAAAGTCTTGCGAATTAAGAGATTAGAACAGGGATCTCCAGACTTGGCAACTTTACGACTAGTGAACTTCAACTTCTAGAACAGTGGTTCTCAACCTTTTTAATGCCGCAACCCCAACCGGTCGTAAGTCGAGGACTAAACAGGTCATAAGTTGAGGACTAAACCGGTCGTAAGTCGAGGACTACCCAACCGGTCGTAAGTCGAGGACTTTCCCTGCCCGGGAGCGCCGCGCATGCGTGGTTCCGCCCCCTGCGCTGGCCGAGGCGTAGCTGGCAAGCGGCAGAGACGGAGCAGGCCGACCACCAGCTGGCCCAGCCCAAGGGAGGTAAGGCACCCGCCGGAAAAGGGGAAA